CCATGGGACTCTAACAAGATTGAAGAGGGTCCAGTGGAGCAGTTGGTGATGGGGAATGAAAAGGTTTTTATCTCCGGCATTGAAAACAATGGGAATGAACCTTTACCAGAATTTAAACCGAAACAGGAGGTGCTGCAGTTCCATTTAAATGATTCAAGTTCGCCTAATGCTGATATGCCGATTATTGAGGAGGTCAAAACACCCATTGCCACGGACGCTAGCCAATCTGAAACTGAAAGCCTTGTTAAAGACCTTTCAGTGGGCTTTGATCATTTAAAATCGGGCGACGCATCAGAAATGGAATTTCCCATGCATCTGCCGGTTGTCAGCCAGCCTGAATCTGAGGGCTTTGCTTATGAGCCTTCGTTTGATTCCAAAACCCCCAAATTGAGTCATCAGGAAATAGCTGTTTCACAAGCAAACGATACATTGAGTGCAATTCTCGCTAACACTGAAGCACAGTTCTCAGCTGATTTTGAAGGTGGTGAGCCCGAATTTTCAAGTCTTGGCAACGAGCCTCCGATGGAATTTGAAACCTTTCTGATGGCGCAGAAAGAAGCGAATTATGCATCGAATGCGGATTTCAATGAGGTTGAAGAGACTCCAGTGAATCTGCCAATTCCTGGTCAATTTATTAATGATCTTAACGAAGAACTCACAGCGGAGTCCAGAAATATCCATCTGCACAGTTCGCATTTAGGGGTTGAGGCTGAAGTCTTCCAGTTCGATCACTCGAAATCTACAGTTTCTCATTTCAATGACGGAGTGAGTAAAGGTTCTGGTGATCTTGAGGGAAGCCTTGTAGATCTGCCGATTACTGAAAAAGCTAAGATTGAACACGTTTTGGAACGTTGCGAACCCACAACCGAGGATTTTAAAAGTGATAGTGTAACAGAATCGGGTATTTCTCGATCGGGGCGAAATAATGCAGTGGCATTCCGAACCGACGAGGCATCAACCCTAAGCTCAGCAGCTTATGTAGGTGGTGATTTTGATGATGAACGTCCAACGAAAATAGGCACTATGCAGGCGGTTTCCTTGGGATCTACCGTTCCTCACCTAAACAAAGGATTGGATGAAACTTCTGCCGAATTTAATGAGAACTCTGCGGACCTATTTCTTGTTGAAGAAACAAAGATTTCCACTGCTTTGGGTGCTCGCGAACCTGGGGTTGAGGTTCCTCAAGATGAAACAACAGTGGATCATGAAAAGCCAATGTTTTCACAAACTAGCGGTCCATTGAGTTTAAGCTCCGTTGATATCGAAGAGAGCTCTGTTAAGTTGCCTATTATTGAGAAAACAGAGATTCCCATTCTTGTGGGAAATAACCAATCTGGTATTAGAAATCTTTCCAGTGACCTCGAAAGGTCACATGTGGATAGTTTGGAGCCGGTGATGCTACAACTCAAAGACACACCGATTCAAGGTTCTCTCAATAATGTGGAAGTTAAGAAACCTGAAACCGGTTTAGGCGTTGAACCTCCACTTGAAATCAGAGTTGAACCCTTAATGGCAGTGATTTCTCACCTAAACGAAAAATGTCGTGAAAGTCTGAAGGAACTTGAAGAGAGTCCCTTGGATCTGCCAGCTATTGAAGATGTTAAGATTTCTACCACTTTAGATACCTATAACCCTGAGGATGATGAATCCTGGCGTCCGCAAGCTGCTGGATCAATGGACTTCACTACCGCTGATGTCAAAGAGGGTCCCATGGGTTCGCCAACTGTCAAAGAGCTGAAGGCTTCCTTTACTACGGAAGCTGGCCACTCTAATGCTGAAGACCTTGGTAATGAACCTACGATGGGATTCGAAGCCTTCCAATCAGTTCACTCAGAGTTGGCAGATCATCGCACTAATGACAATTTGGAGAGGGGTCCTATCGAGACGGAATCGAGAATTCCTTCTAATTTTGGAGCACAAACTGAATGTCTGGACAGAGAAAATTCAAAGGAAATCGATAATCCCCCACAGAATTTCTCGATCCCTGCCGTTGCGTCCACCACCCAGGAGAAGTCAAGCTCTGAAAATTTGTTAAAAGAGGCAATGCAGCAGTATCTTAATCCCGAAATGGTAGCAGAAGTTAGGCAGGAGGATTCCACAGCCATTCATCAAGCAGTTTTCACTAAGTGTACACTTGCAGCATCTCCCACTGAAAGATCTACGGGTTTAGACTTGGTGACTAGTGAATCTGATAACTCCCTTTTCAGTGAGACTAGTGATTCTTCGAAAGCCACTAAAAACCCGTTAAGTGGTGAGGTCAAGGTAAAGGTCTTCTCCGTACGAACTAAAAAGCGAGGTGTGTCGACAGATGCGGGGGTAAAGGAACATAAGGAAGGTATGTTTAAAAAAGATTCTTTTGGTGGTGAAGAGGCATATTGGGGTGATACAGAGTGGGATAGCAGTAATGCTAAAGAACAAAATAAAACTTTAAAAGCAGAAGATTCGCCTCAGTCTCATTCGATTAAACGCATAGAACTAGGTGATGCAAATGTTTTTGAGGTTGTCGCTGAACCAGTTTTGGATGTTAAGGCTTTTCAAAGTGATTTCGAACAGGCTGGCATCGGGCTCGAAGCCTCTGTGAAAACTGAAGAGAGATTCTCCCATCTATACGATTTTACGACCAAAGTTGAAGCTGTGAATGTCCTGACAACTGACAATCGGGATGAAAACACGGAAGATGAGTTTGGTGAAGTTAAAAGTTCTAATGAGGATCATTTAGAGCTTAATATCACTGAAAATTTATCGAATGGTGAATCACAATTACTTTCTTCAACTTTGAAGAGCGGCAATGAAAAAGGGAGAGTAAAATTTGATGAGGAATTGCATCACCTAACAGGTGAACACATATTGAACCCCATAGATGATACAAAGGCGGAAGATATGGGGGGCTTTGAGAAAATATCTGAGCAAATTGAGGAATCGTGCATTGGAAAATCTGTTTGTACAGCAGAGTGTGACGCTTTTGTTGAACATTCTGATGACGTGCCTTTGCACGATACGAATTGGGGTGATTTTGGTGAGTCTAACAGGAGCACTACGATTGATGGTGCATCTAGGCTTAAGACTTCAGAAGAGAATATGAAAGATGTTGTTTACTCGGATTTGAAGGATGTTTCAGAAAGCTCTGAAAAAACGTCGGCTTTTGCCTTAATCGAGGCTTCTAAACCATCAAATTTCACTTCCGTGAGCACAAAACCGATTTTGTCTGATAACGAGGTAGCAGAGCTGGCTGAGTCCATGGATTTCGTTGCATTCGATATTCAGCATGATTTGGCTGGGAACAAGGCTTCAATTGAACCTGAAGATATTGCTGTTGCTCAAACTGAAACCGGTGATGAACAGACCGGCTATCAAAAATATGTGCTTGGTGGGAAAGTGGCCTCTGAGGAATCTCAATCTCCGCCTCGTGGTGATGGAGAATCGGGGTCTGTGGAAGGTCTTAAACCACTTTTCAAAGTCAACATTGGGTCCTCGCAATCAAGCCCTGTCACAGGTTATGAAGAGAAGGAGGCGTCAGATTCGGTTCTCAAACAGCTTAACCCGAAGGAAAAAGGCGTTACAAATTCAGCAGTTATGAAAGATAGGGATCCAGATCTTTCATCAGTGGTCGTACACAATTTGGAAGGCAAGGGGGCGCCACAATTATCTGAAGGAGCTAAGGATGTAGGCGTGAGGCCAATGGGAGGATCTGATGATTTTTTGGATCCAGGCCTCATTGAAACCGAGTCTTTCTTATGTGAATTAGACTCCAATCAAACGATTCAAATTTCTCTCGATAAGTCGGCTGATACTATGCCCCCAAAGGAACCTAGGCTTAATACGATTCTAAACGTGGGTTACGAGGAAGGTCCTGACAATTTGTCACGTCGTGATGAAACGGAATTCGACAATTCACCTGGAGCTCTAAAAACTTCTGGGAGTCAATTGTTAAACTGTACGCCTCCTGATCCTGGTCATGTCTTGGGTGGTTCAGTTATTCAGCCCAATATATCTGAAGGAGAAGCTGAACTAGTGTTGCAGGAATCACTTAAACTGGTTCCTGAATTATCAGATGGAGACAGTTTCAAGTCGTGTGTCTCGTTTGCTAGTAAAGAGCAATCAGCCATTCAACTCCCAGATTCTACATCCTTTGAAGCATCAAAGGTTGATGCAGAGGATGCCAGTTGGGCCAATTGTGAAAATGCCAAATCTTCGTATCAGGTTGATGTAGGGAGGATATCAGAGTATTCCGCTTCATCGCCACATGAAGAGCCGTCAGCTATTTCTTGGATGGATGCGGAGTTGCCTGAGACGGACAAAAACAATACAAATAGTGAGCTCGGTGAAAGGACAACAATACATGAATCGTCTGAAATACTTCACGTTGGTGACTCTCATTTGGGTTCAGGGGACGTTCTCGTTTTGTCATCGGATGCTGAGCATTTTGATCATTTCCAAGGCGGGAAGGAAATAATCAGTGATGGTGAAACTAATCTGAACTTACCTGTTGGTGAAGAGGGTGATTGTAGTGGTACTCCATTTGCTGATCTGGATGCTACTCAAGGTTTGAGAAATGAAGAAATGGAGTCCTCTGGTGCCGATCAAATGGCTTCACCCAATGGTGACTCAGTAAATGATGCCAATTTCAGTGCTGAAAAGGAGCAAACTAGTAGTGGTAATGATATTAAGTCGTTGGATTTTGAATCACTTACTGGAGATCCCCCACCACTCTCTGTTCTAGTTGGCCCCTTGGAACCAATCTGTACTCTAGGCGAGTTTGATAAATTAGCGGATTCCGTGAAAAAGCCTCTTGAAGATGTCCATCTTTTTGAAGACTTTGTATCCGATGAATTGGCCCTTAAAGAAAGCCCAATAGAACCAACAGTTCAGACGAGCTTTGGGGCAAACGAAGTAACAGGGATCGATGAGCCGGGGACAAAACCAACCGTTCGAAAGATACCCTCCCAACTAAATTCTACAGAAGACTCAGATCAACTCGAATTCGACACCAAGTCTTCTGGAGTTTTTGTGGTCCAGGAGGGACTGTTTAACAAAACTGAACCAACTTCGCAATCCATGAAACCGGAAATTTCGGATCCTGCAGTGGAACATGGCATGGAAGGTAAATTTGAAGAATTGAACATCACAGAAACGACTGATCTCGATAATCTTCGGTTCAGAACACCCTGGAGAGACATCGATCAGCTGGGTGATTTGGAAAGTTCTTTTGTGGAAGCGACTGGTCTTGAAGTTAACACTCAGTCTGATGAGCCAACTACTGGCTGCAAAGTTGACAGCAATGGCTCTGATGAGTGGAAAGTGGACGATTGGAGGGATGATTCAGGATGTCTACAGGAATCATCCGACCAATTTCATCATGCTGACCTCTTGGGAGATGTAAGTCCAAATGGTCAAATTCCATTATGGATATGTATTTGACTTCAAGAACTATGTTCTAACTATCAGTCATCAAACGGGTTTTTCATGTTGTGAGGTCTGGTCCAACCATGGTCATTTGGTCTCAAAAGACCATTAAAGCCTACATTTGGTTTGGGGCAGTTTTTAATTCATTTGATTCCATCTTTCAGACGTACTGTCGCTTATCTTACCTTTCTCTAGTTAACGCTCCCAAGAAACCTCGATAATTCACATGGATCCTCTGCGAAGTAAACCAACACCGACAATCGGGATGCCTGAGATGACTATGGGGGTTAAAGTTTGCTTTTCGCCTTATCCAGGTAGCTATTTTATCACATTTTTGGTGCTTGCATTTACCCGTAATAAAGCGCGTTTGCTGTTGGCATTAAGCAGTGTAATTTCTTGTGATAATCAAATTTACCTACAACTTTTTTAATCAGGACGCAGCTATGGTTTCCGTCGACTAAATCTTCTGACGTTCAGTACTAGGATCTCGGTGGAAAGTTGGTTACTCCACTGCGTAAATGTTTTATCCTCCCAACATGACACCAATTGTTACTTATTCCTTTAACTTCTTCAACTGCCGCTATTCCAAAATGAATTATTATAATTTTCCTCAGACCAAGGACATTCTACTTCTTTCTACTTCAGAATTTTAAATTTTACGAATCCATTTGTGGCACAATTGGGTGTCGGTAGGAAGCACGTTACATTTGTGACGAGAAAATCTTGACGCTACATGAGCAGAACTGGTAGCAAACATTTTAATCACTTGGCTTCTTTTCCGATCGGTCTGTTTATGTTTCGTTTTCAATTACCTCATCTGCATGAGCACTTTAAACGTTCATTATTTGTTGGAAATTCCCTCCATTACAGACTTGTCAGTTTAATTATACGAAATATTCTCGTAAAGTCTTCTGCTTTGCAAACGGCTTTTATGTCTACTGTTAGAGAAGCTTATATTGAATGCTTTCAATAAGGCAAATTTTTCCTACTTGGCTTAATTTTATGCCGATGTCCGTCCCACTTTAAGTTATATCCTTTTGAACTGGCCTATTATCATGGGCCATGTGTTTCTAGACTTCTAAGTTAGACGCGGTTGTTGATGTACCTTTTCCTTCCTTCTTTTCAGTACCTGTAACACGTCTTTCATGCAATGCCGGCCTGCAAGCGCTTTTTCAAGGCGGCGCACATTCCACAATCCGTGCTTTCCCGATTTATTGGTGTCACTGATAATATTGTTGCTCCTATTCCTACTATTTTCTACTGTTCTTAACTTCCCTGCACAAATCAAACAAATTCACATTATTAAAGGCTGTGCATTGTGCTTGCAGTAGTATTTCATCTCTCTGGTGTAAATTTCTACTTACATGCTTTGCCTATGCTGTAATGGAAAAAAATAAGCTATCTCATATGTTGCCCCTTGCGCACTCTATATTTTTTTGCTAGAGTATAATCATTCATTGACTTTATCTACTTCCTCCTATTCTTTAACCCATACTACGATCTTCTTCCCGCTGAAAGCGTGGGTTTGCGAAATTGTACGAGGTCTTATTTGAAAATAAATCACGTTACAATAGTTGTGGTGGTTAGGTGCGCATCTTCAGTATGCAAAGCATGCGTGCACCTTCTTGTGATTAACTGGCTCACGGTGCTTGGAGGAGCATGGCTTCCATGTTCTGTCAAACGGGTATGGTTGAGTGATTCAGAGCTTTGGAAAAAGGGTCGGTCGTGCGTAAATAACGTCCAAATGTGGCGCTCCCCAAAGGGCAAAAAACGGTCGGTGTGTTCAGAAAATTTGCAATTAAGTCTGTTTAACTAACAAGTGAATGAACCACCGATAATGAAGCCAATAAGCTCGTGATTGTGCATCTTCCTGACATAAACGGAATGGGAGTAGATTAATTACTTGAGTCAGTAGTTGTTAAAGTAGTAAAATGGTTTGATTGAACTTTACAGTAATTAGTCTTGCTGCATTGAATGGGGTTCTGCTCCTTGTCAAACTATTTTTGGTTGAGGTTAGCGTCTGCCTGGAGAACGCAACACAACGTACCCCAACAGAGGGAAAGTGCGCATGATACAAGGGCGATGTAGTGTCGACGACTTGGTGATTTGCACTTGCTCTAAATACAAAAGGCCTAATTGCAACGCTTTGAGCAGGTGACATTTGCCAATTCGTCGATTATTCCTTAACTTGGTGCCCGTCAATTTTCGGGAGGTAGACGCCTTCCACCGAATGATTTTTTTGGTGTCATACTAGAATACCCCTTCCAGAAGCAGTTTTAACACTAACATGGATTAAAGTAGTAGCCTACGCAATATTTATTGTTTTGGTGGTGAGAACGAGACAAGCCTTGGTTTCGTAAAATAAATTTTGGGACTTTCGACTGTTCCCACTTGTCGCTGTTTAATTAATTTTTCAAGAGTTCACTTCTTCAAAACATCCTGTTCTTTCACTTAAATGAAATGGTTTTAAAATACTTATTTTGGTTGCTCTTGACAACGAAAAGAGGTGGCATCCTTCATTATTTATTCATATTTTTTAAAAATCCTTCTGTGGTGTATTAACGAAAATAGCTCCCTTAAAGTCCACCGGTATCAAATCAATTCGTATTATTTTGTTTATTGCAATTTTATAAGCCAGTTCAGATTGATATGCATGACATAGTTGTAACAGACTTCTTCTAGAGGAAATTGTGATACTTTACATTTATAGACACTATTTTTGTTTGCGTAAATACTGTTCGCACCGGATCTATACAACCCTGTTTGGTGAATAGAACTGATTTATGAAAATAGGAACGAAGGCGTATTTTCCGCTTTACGTAACTAATAAAATCATAAATGAGGAAAATAAGCCTTGCTTTAAGAATATTATAAAACTGTAGCTTCCTATCCTGAAATGGTCATTTAAAGTGGTAAAATAATGTAAATTGGAAGAGCAAAGTGTAGTCTTCCCGAATATTTCAGTAAGAACCAAAGAAATGAAACATCAAGATTAAAAATCCCTTCCAGTTCGTGGGACTACTTCTCCCATACCATAGATCAGCCTGAATACGCTTGTGCATTTCCCGAACAGATGGTACTTAGGGATCTGGTGAATCAGTTGGGATAGCGAAGACACTCTTTTACGTGGCTGCCTTAGTTAACAAAATAACTTACAACTATGGGAGGTGAACGCACTTCATCGCCTCGCACGAACAAGTGTCTCAGCTTGAGGAAAAACGTTTATCGAAAGCGTATTTAAGGTAGGCTTTAGAACTGTTGAAATTTCCTCTTAAACAATCTTCATGACTGATGACATTTGGAACTAATAGGCGCTTACTCAAACAACCAACACTCGTTGAAACCGTGAACTATCCCTTGTGTTTTCATTCCGATCTCTGAAAGTAGGCTCAAAGCTGTTTACGCATTCTGCTTTCACTAACACTTTTGGTTTAACACAGATCAGGGGGTTTTACTCCGTTTTTCAAAGGATCTGTTTCGATTTAAAACTTACAAAACGCTGGCAGTGTTTCATCTAACACCCTCACTCAAAGAAAATAATTCTGTTGTTTTTTTTCGGTGTAATCAAAAAAGTACAATTTGGCGAATCCTCCGCCGATAATTGAGATCGCCTTTACTTCTGTCTAAACTTCAGGACCGTAAGTGACATGGAACGATCGAGTAAGTCGACGATGAAGACAGTCTTCCTAATTTTGATCGTACAGAAACGTACATGTATGTGGTTGTTTTCAAAGCTTGGCGGTGATTTATGTCTTCTTTGATCTCCTGGGTCTTTGAATTAGTAATAACTTTCCGTGAATAATATATTTTGATGAAATGAGAGTCCAGTCTACTATTCGTGCTTATTTTGCATAGACGTACAAGCCCATCGGGTATCTATGCATCATAAGAAAGTGGAGCTTGGCGCATGTTTGTTTTTCATATGTAACTTCTTTACTGAACAACCGAAATTTTTCTTTTTACTTTCCCTAACAATTAATTACGCTTAACTGCACTTTCAAATACCAGTTTGCTCTTATGTAATCTTTCTGGTCAAGCGTGTTATTCCTTCATGCGTAAGTTATCTCCTAACTACATATACAAAACTACTTATCTCCCTTTCAGTACTTTTCTCTACCGGAAAGTTAAGCTATATATAGAACCAAACAGATTCTTCATTAGCGTACAGCTCGGCCACCACGATGAGACTCAGCCCTCTCGTAGGTTGGTAACTGGCACGCCTCATCACGCGGACACCACATTGCAATATCACATCTGATGCATTAAACTGCACTACACTTCTCTCCTTGACATGTCGAAGACTTATTTGTTCGTCCTTTATGGAAGTAAAATAGAGTCGAGCTATTTAGGGACTTTCCGAAATGTGTTTTGGTCTCAGGTATAGGCAAACTAAAAGCGGCCTCCTCTGTTATTTTACATAATCTAATTACATCCCCTCTCGTGTTTTTATGACAGTAGACTTCCCGATTTCGTGAAAAGAGCCAGCATGACAAAATCATTTAAACATTACCTGGTACCATCCCCAGCAGACACCTAGGGAAATGCCATCAAAATGTCAAGTAAGGCTAATTTCTCGGCTATTAGTGACATTTCTGGTATAACGAACGCTGCTGGTGGTACAGTGAGGTGATGTGTGGCTGCCTGCCTTCTGTGGATGTCTTTCACACGGCTACCTGGCAAGCACTTCACCGCCTCCTCCCTCACCTCCTCTTCCTGTCCTTTCGATTTTCATTTGTGTGTGAATGTGGGTGTGCATGCACGAATGCGCGCACGTCTACTTGGGAAGTCGGCTAAAGCTCCCCTCTTCTCTTTCAGTGTTTTGCGCGGTTTGATAGAAATGCCCGGAATGTGGGAAAAGTCAGCAAAGCAAACGGTGGAGGCTATATGTCTTCTGGTAGGGGAGCGGAGGGAGAGGGAGGAGAGGAAGGGATAGCTTCATAAACGGCTCGGTGGGGATTCGATGCGCCCTCGCCTTCTTGACTTTCATTTCACATGAATGGCTAACCAAAAATTTGAAATATGATAAGCTTCAAAGAAATAGTAAAAGGCCCTACAATTAAGGCAATATAATAAGCGGTTAACAAGAATGTCAAAGATATTTTTAGTAAATTAATATTAGCTTGTGGTTTGCTGTCGTAATTTTTTCTCAAATGAAAAGTGTAAAGTTTATTATGCTTATTTCACGCATTTTTTTAATTGAGGGCAAAGTAAATATGGCTGTAAGAATTCTGCGTTGTTTTGATACCTGCTTAACTGTGTAAGCTTGGTTCCACTTCCGTTCGGCAGCATGATCCTATGGTCATAGCAGTAGCCTCCCCATCCTTCTGCGCATTAATCATCATAAACCTTCTCTTCCACTGGTATGGAGTATTGCGACTGCAGAGAAGACTAGAGCCACTGAAATATCATTCACGAATGAAGATGTAACTACTTCACAGCGTAATATTTATTGGTTTTCGGATCTCTCATAATGCCACATAGAATGGTAATGCTGAAATGACCATCATGCATCACTTGGTAACGCCGTATTTTCAGTTTCATTCATTTTCAAAGGAACGTTAATGAACGTCTCAGGGCTGCTTAGATTTTATCTTCCCTTTGAGCTTACGCTAGCTGCGGCACTTGCTACACATCCACCCTGCAACAACTCCAACTGCATGCTGAAAGTCGGGCTTGGAAGTAGCGAAGCTAGATTCTATCTCCCCTGTCATCGCGCATGTAATATCGTTTTATCAAAAATTCGCTTCCCCTTATCTATGATAAGTAGGCCATATTGTAACCTAAAATCCCTTTTTTTAGGTAAATAGAAAATTGAGACGAATTTATGCGAAATATTTGATCCTAATAATATGAAAAGGTAAGGCGAATCAACTCTGTGGTTGATTTGGCGTTTCAGAAAGAAATAACGCCTTGGATACTTGGAAACGGAGTTATTTTTGGAAAATAAATCTTGTAAATTCCTTGTTGCTATAATGCACTAGCGAACCTCGAGAAATATTGCCTGATTGCATTACAGTGATAAGATCTTAATGTGCTAAAAATTACAACACTTTGTCTGTTTTGCGCAATATACTCAAAACATTTCACTACTAATCTGGCACCAAATGTTGGCACTTAATAGTTCGGTGCGCAGATTAGTATAAAATTTTGACTTAGCCTCAGATTAAAACGGAAGCATGTTTTACTCTTCAGAAGTACACTCGCTGGAGCAGACGTATGCAGCGAAGAATTTGCATTTATAAGTACTCGGGCACTTATTTTCGCCCTCACATCTACTCAAATAATACCTTGTTTTTATTCGTCTGTTTAATTGTATGCGCCTGGTCTCTACGACCAGGAAGATTTGGCATGCAGGAAGTCCAGGTCGTATGCTGCATTGGAGAAAACACTAAATTTCTCAATGCACGCAGTATTTGTAAAGTGCCGCGTGTTTTCTTAAGCTCTTGCAAATAATTTCAGGCGGAAGACTGATGTGTTTTCGCCTGCACCATCGTATGGAAAATTTGCATGGTCTACTTTTTGGATGACACTCTTGAATACCGAGATACTGGTGTGTAAAGCGGATAAGTATTCCAAATCGCAGCCGCATTTGCGAGCCAGCAGCCTCTGTCTGATTCCTGTGTAAGACGTATAACTGCAGATGCTTTCAGGAAAAAATTTTTTAGCATTTTTGTTGGCACGCTTTCCTGTTTGGCCTTTTGTACCAAAAGAGTTTGTTTAAAAACATATGAAACGGAGGAAAGTAAGTCTAATCGAATTTTAAATGGTTATTTGTCTTTATCTGTTGCTTGAGGTACTTTCTGCCATAAGTGACTGATTTGAAGGAAATGCTGCTGTGATTGAAATACCACTTCCTTAGTACCGCGATTGCAGTACTTCTAAATAGAAAGTTTAATGGAGACGTGAACTGTTTCGCCACTGCAATAACGATTGTGTTCTGAGTGAATGAATGCAAATTGTGCATCCGTGTTAATTGAATAATTTAAGTAGCGATGAAAAAACAAAGGGAAGGTTTGAGAATCGAATCCTTTATTTAGAAGGAAAGCAAATGTATGAAATGCAGAAGTAGCGTGACTGCCCTTCGAAAAGACAATAGAGAAAATAGTCCTCTCTCCTCCGAATTTTAATTTTTTTCAGCAGCAAATGTAACAGTTTTACAAATACTTTCCTCATGAGTTGATTTTGCCTGTTTAAGCCGTTTTATTTAATGCGAAAAATTTCAAAGCTGATGAACTCATCACTCCAGGTCCCTCTAGAAGGTGTTACAACGAAGGCGTGCGTCTTCAGCCAGCCTAGGCATAAGTGCATATGGGTGCAGGTGGACTGGTGGGTCATGAACAAATGCGACGTGTATGGGGCGTCAATACACGCTGATGGCAACCGGGGCCTACGGGAAGCGACGGGCAGCCAGAGCAGATATGATTCTGAAGCACAACTACACCCACCATGCCTGCTGTGCAGGTTCGCTCAAGTGAAGAATTTGGCTTAAAGCTAATACATCAATAAAATAAAAATACCCATACTTCGAAAAACAAGATACTACTTAAGATATCAGTTATAGTGTACCTTTGTGTCACTACAACAAAAAGTGAAACCAAGATGTTTCTCTCATACAAAGGAATAACGAATTAATTAGAATTTTCCAGGTTACCCTTCCACACCTGATCAGCTTCATCATACGATGCAGTTGCGTAGCGCCGCTGGACCTCCCTGAAGAAGAAAGATGTAATGCAAAGACAGAACACGTATTGTTGACGTACGGAAAAGATTAGGGCGAAGGCATAATGGCCAAGGGTTAAACAAAAACTAAAGTTTTGCGGTTGATTTACGACCGCACTGCATCTGATAAAACATTGCATTACAATAAAAGCAATATTAAGAAGATCAAATTTACTTCCTCTGAGCATAAGTGAAGCATGGATGTGATAACTTGTTTTAGCAGCCGCTCGCTTGCCTAATGAAATCAGTGCTGTATTTTCATCTAACACCACAACTTTTATTAATTTTTGCATTAGACAACAATTTATCTCCATGTTTTCGTAAACAGTATCCGGCAAAACGTGTTCTCCATAATAATTGCAGTTTTACCTGGAAGCCTAAATAATCATTTTTGGTAACGAAGTAACATTTTTAGATTAGCTTTCTATCCTTCAAGCTTTGGTATAATATGTATTTCGACATGAACAACGGCGCATAGCTGGATAGAAAGGTTGGATAGGATTAAATTTGATGCAAGAGAAAGACGTGAGGCCTCTGTACTTCAGATGGCTCAGTAGATTGCCCGTTTAGCCCTTGTCTGTGAACAGGAAATTAAAATTGCAACATTTATGGAAGTAAGTATGCTCCTTTTCATATCAGATTCCATCATGTTTGTGCTATCTTTTGAATTCCGATTGGATTTATTGCATCAGAAAATGGTAGCATATAGTTGCCCTTCGAAAAATGAAACTAAATTTGGGAGTTCGCATTCATATGTTAAGCAGAAGAACGTTTCCATTACTTATTCCATAATTTGTAAAATCTAATGATGTTTGACGTTGTTTCAATTTAACAAGAATTGTTTTGCATAAGAGACCGTAAGTTTTTAAAGATACACTTTCTCCTCGAGGACAAGGAAAACGGACTTACTTTACAGGTAATCTCTCTAGCTGCAGAAAGTCAGCCGTGTTTTTGTGTGATAAGTGGATGTCAGAATTCCGCCATAAACCAGTTAAACGTACGACTTTAATGGCGTCTGCAGATTTTGGGAACCCATTTTGTTGAATTTATGGTTTCCGATTTATGGTAGCATCCAATGGGTAATTTTCAATGTTGGACATTTGCTCAAGGCAGTAAAGTTTCCTGTGAACCAAAGTGACAGATATCAGGCGTTTATTTTATTCCCTAGAAGTAAAAAAAGATAGAACGCAAAAGTAGTGACCATCTCATCGTGATGTTCCAAACGTCATTGGAATATTTTGTGCTGTAATGTTGTGTGCTGACAAATTTATAACCAAAAATATTCGCGATTTTTCCGCGGCATAATTCAGGCAACAAATTTGCTTGAATATTTTGCCTTTTAACATTTTTATTGCACAAAAGGTATTCTGGTATTTGTTTTGTGAAAATTAGACTTGCCTGTAATTAGAAACTTGTAAGATGGATTGTGAAATTTCAATTGGTGGAGTTGCTTTCATTCATATTTATGACTATTTATTAATCAGCATCTCCTTTCTTGAGCAATTTATACTTACCTCTAGTGTAATTGCATGGGCACCTGAGCGATTTTAAAGCGACACCTTCATCGCTTCCTATTTCGTGCAACTTGCAACTGTCAGAGGTGTGAAGACTCGTGCCCTGGTGGCTAGAGCATATACCAGGCTCGTCTGCAATATGTTCACACCATTTGCACAAGTCTTGTGGGGAGTTTAAAAGTGGAAATTGTATGCTGAAGTAATGCACCATACTATTTAGCGCGCAAAGCTTTAAAGTAGGTGAGCATAAAAGTGGCTATAACCTGAACGGCTTTAGAAAGGCAACTTCAAATCCGTCATTGCTTGCAATTACAATGTCTGCTATGGAGGTAATTCTGCCTAGGTCCTACTCACTTATACCTATTTTGTGACCTCAAGTCCATATTTCGGTTCCCAGTCTAGCTGATGGCTGGTTGGCAAAAGAATACCTAAAAACAGGAATTGTCTTGCAAACTTTTTAGTTGGCTGTGCATGTTGCAACAAATTCCTTTTTGAAACAACTTCAAAGTAGTGTTGAATCAAGCTAATGGGTATTTTAAGTCGTGCTTTATTCCACATAACGTGTATGCGTTGGGTTTTCGTTTACGATCTACTTTAGTAATTGCAATAAATACTTGATTCGAATTATATACGACAGCGGTAAACTACCCCGCGCTCCACTTAAAATGCATGGGATGCATGCACTAGGCGCCACCAGGCATAAACGTTTGGCCAGTTTCCGGAAGCTGAATTACTTCTACATGTTTCTCACACATTTTGCTTTAAAGTAGTACCTTATTGCCACATTACGATTCATTGAGTAAGTAGAGGTTTGTTTAGTTAAATGATTGTGACTGTTTAAAAATGTTGCATAAGAAGTCACCAAAAAACCCTTTTTATGAAAGATAAATACCTGTTCGACAATCGTATTTGTTTTTGAAATGGGAGAAATTTATGAACTTAATGGTTTCTGGCATCCCTACTGTTGGCTTCTGCCGCTAAACTATCATTTCTCATTTACTTTCGTACAAGTGTTTTCGTGGCAGATGTTCATTTACATGCGTCATGACCGCAGCGTGTTGCTTTGATCTGTCTTGAGTATCCGTGTTTCCGACCACGGTCACAGTGTTGTGGTTCTGCGTTCACTTTATTTCTGTCGCTGATTTACCGTAAAAGCAATTCACAAGTGATAATGCAGCTTTCTGAGACTTCTCTGAGGACAAAAAAGGCCATATTCGAGCAGGATGCATACAATCGACGTACGGCAGGGCTCAGGGCTACTGGCATGGCCCAGAGGCCGTGCCACGGAGCGAGTGTACAATGATAGTGCCATTCGGGTCCATGTAACCAAAATTAAAAGCTGAACAAACAAGCAAATTATTACACATCTTTAATATGCATTCTTCAGTAACTTCCATCTATAAGTGAATGCTTAGGCGTAATTAGCAGATCACTGAAATGCATATTTAGATTTGAATCAGAAAGGTTTAGCTTCGTAAGATAATCCCCACAGCCGATAGTAATGGTTCTGACCTTTCCTTAATTTGCACCCAACTCCGAGTGAATGACTGCATTCCATGTAAACCATAGGAAAGTAAAGAATCGTCCAATTAACAGTTGCTGGAATTCGCGAGCTTCCAATAAACAGTTTCTGCAACCATAATTACATGTTTTCAGTGTGGCAAGTGGAATCTGTAATTATTTTTATGATGATCAAAAAAAATGCGAAAACAAGTCTTGCTTAAGCAAAAAATGCCTGTCAGTAATGGTTAAAAATAAAATGGCGCTTTTCAACTCTTAAATGTGCTACTTTTAACTTTCGCATGCTTTAATCCCTAAAAATGTCAAGGACTGACTGCTGGGGAATTTCTTAATTTGCACTACGGGTAAGCTGTCCTTCATATAGCTCGGAAGTCTGGCTTACAGCATCGAGATTTTAAGTCTCCCTATTTATTTGCACTGCATTTATCAGTACTGTTTAAATTAAACTATTAAAGCTGACTTTGGAAATTTCATTCCATATATACTTTTTCTTTGTTAAGCCTCCATCAGTTTACCATTTAAAAGAACTTGCGTTTTCCGCCAATAGGCAAATTATTTGAATATAAAACAGGCCTTTTTTATTTTAATGTTCCTTTAATCGGCCAGATAGATAGACCATAATCCGTAGATGCACCAAATTGATTATATCCTAAATTTGGCGGCCCTGTTGCCTCATTTTCATGAATAAAAGTAAGAATTTCTAAAGAATTTCTGTGTGCTATATTTAATTTACTCTTCGGAGCCTCATCGTTGCTGAAAAATTGTGAAACTCCTTGCTAGGTAACTGCCTCATCTATCTCTATGTCATCTCACTCAATTAGAGCAAAAATTTCTAAAGCCTCAATTTAAAAAAAATTGTATACATATATATATATGTACCTTGAATCATTTCTAGCATTAATGACTTGGATGATTCCCCTTTTTACAAACACACAAGTTCATTTCAGTGAATTCCTTTAAGTGTAACGGAAAATTGCATTATAATTTACTAAAAACGATATATTACGCTAGCAGGTCAAGAATTCCTCTAAATTAAGTATGTGTTAATTAAACATGGCAATCGAACCAAATACATAGGGACAATTAGGATCCTTAGTTTCATTAGAATGAAACGGCTCCCCGGTGAACGACTAATTGCCAACGGTTGAAGCGTTTTACAGCCTTACGGATGAGTAGATGTGAATAAAGAATATCCTGAGAAACATTTGATAGGAAAACAGTCACAAATCCCAGGAACTGGTGGACTTCAGCGGTGCGGCAATGGTAGTGAAACTCTGCCAGACTACGTTTGCTGAGAACTTATCCCACAGAACCAAATTTAGTACTCAACATTTCCAGACAAACAACGGTACGATGAGAACTCTAATAGAATCGCTTCGTTTTCATCCTCCTCACTTTTGCGCAGGAAATGTGACGGATCTATGTGTGTTTTAGCCTTGTGGAGAGGTTTCTTGCCAAGGTTAATAGACTGCTCCAATTTTATTTTACCTTTAAACAGGAAAAAAATAACCAACTTGATTAATGTCTCAGATTGTCTCAGGACTGGCAGCAAGTTAACGCTCAGCACAATTTTTTAGTCCACAAAAATAGCATGGCGATAGCTGAGACCGAAGCTTTATTTTCAGATGTAATCTTACCTGTCCTTTATTAAGACATGGGATACTGAGTGCTGATAACGCTTCGTTTTATTTTTCACTATATTTTTTGGTTCTATTACTTATTTATTTGCTTCATTTATGCCTCAGCTATGCAATAAATGACTTAAAATACGAATAAAACACAGTTTTTACTTGAAAGATTCATTCGAATTAATGAGAAAACCATTTCAAATTTAAGCTGGTGAAACTTTCTCTAAAAAACCGATCTGTTTTAATAAGAAGTGATTATGTGTGTGTCCTACTTTTAATTCTGGTAATATCATTGTAATTACCCTGTCATAATGTGATACGTTGGTTGCTTAACCCCCGGTGCTGGTAAAGGGGCTACTTTGTGTCTTGGCCACTGTACCTTCGCCGGGTATACTGGCCTATGGGCTATGCCAGTAGCCCCAGGCTCTACTGCATGTCGAATATGATTATTCTGCCCCAGTATCATGTCTTCTTTCATCCTCGGGGAAGTCTTGGAGTGCTGCAACAACTCCAAAGGCTTCATCTAAATGGGTCAACGAATCCACAGCGAAAGGAGGGGATTCAGACCAGCATCCATACCTTGTAGTTGTATATTTATTAATGCCTCAAATTTAATTTACTTTATAAGACTCCCTAATTTAGCATACAGGCTAATTATTTTACTTGGATAAACTGGGTTATTCTTCATTTTACCCAACTTATTTGCATTAAACACTGCAGACAAAACGTTTGCGCGAGGCTGTGTAGTTGGAAATGTTTGTACATGCGCACGCCGTAAAAATTGAAGAAATTTCAAACCCGGGTGGAAATAATACCACTTTGCTGAGTCACAGCCGCAATCACAGTCATTGCCGCCCCACGATGCAAGGCAATTTGTTTGTACGCATAAATTGTCTCGTTTTATTGGCCTCGTATGCACCTCTATTACCTCAGCTTGTGTTTCCCATTCCAGCTTACAAAGCTGCCTTCATCCTCCTTGTCTCTCCTCGTTGTCCTGAATATTATGCAAAAGAACACAATTTATGTCAACTAGGTGGACTCTTCACTCTGCGCTTCGACTGCCGCATTGGCGGCATAGCGTCCTATTCATCGTATCCTAGTCAATGGTCCCCTTGCCCTTCTGAGCATTGATGGTAACGTTGTATGCCTTTATAGTGAGCCAATATTTGTGTAGGGCTGCAATCAATCACCCAAGCACCTTCATCCTAAACAGTTTTAAAAGCGATCTTGGTGACATGGTCTTCTGACCACAACCCTAGCCTCGTAGACCTCTACACTTGTAATAAGTCCTTCTACACTGGCGTGCCTTGTTGTAGCCTCAGTGATTATTTTTGGCTCTTCAATGATGATGGTGCTAAAAGGAGCCAATCCAAACTGCCAGCAATTCTGGTCTTGCTGACTGGCTACCACATCTAACAACTCTGCACAGGGGGGTTGTTTGCCATGTAAGCAAAAGAGTTGAGAAAGCGTTGACTTTTCCCATGCCGCCCATTCGCGCCGTTCTGCACAATAACATTTGTGTATACTTATTTGCATAAAAATGTTCTCAAGCGTAAAATGCTGAGCCATTTATTGAAAACGCAGTTTGTGACTTTATTTTCAACTTCCATCCGCGTCTATTAGTCATAGTATTTGTTTAAATTTTTTTGGTAATGGCGCTTTTAAGTACAGGGTTAAAAGTGCTCCTAGGAAAAGATTTGAAGTCTGCTTTGTATACAGTTCTTATTTTATATTCCATTCCTTTGACTTATAATTCGTGTTGAATTAAGAAGCAAACAGGAGTGTGCATTTGATTGTCCCTATCATGACTGAATAATGGCACAGCTTTGAATGGTATTGTCACCTGGTTCCACGCTTCGTTGCGCCTACCTCTGGCAGTAAATAGCCGACGCGCTAAATAAGGTCTGTGATTGAAATTGGGTGGGATTTCTTTCAACGTTACCCATGCTTTAACAGTGATTCATAAAAAGTCCCTACTCTATGATTTAGTTAATAAAAAGCTAAACCTCCTGGGACTTTGCCCTGCATGGATTAGTATCACAAGGTTTAAGGAGAATAATTTCCAACCAAACGCATTTAGCTTTAACGTTATTTTAGTGAATAATGTCAAAAAATATTTTGTATTCAAGTGGAAACTTGTACATTTCTTAGTTGCTCTCCATGAAGTCTAATTAGCCAGCCGTTTTAAAATCTTAACGCTTTTTGGCTTTTTTGGTCTTAGGTAAAAAGGCGTAGAAATGAAGGCCCACTGTTATTTAAATGGCAGCAGCTTTGCAAATCGAAAAGTTTACCAGCAAAAAATGGCGAAGAAGTGCGTCCCAACAGATCAAGGTACCAAAAAAAATAATCAAAGTTAAAAACTGATGCAATAATCACTTTTACTGCAAAATCTAGAATAAATTACTGCTTTCCTTATGAAAGGGAAAATATCGCACAAAAATAATGCATTATAAGGAATTGTAGAGGTGCTAAGGGGCTTCTATTAGTAAACCTTCTTGTCAGGTATTAAAAATATGACATTTTTAAGTGCCAAATTTTACTTTGCTGCTTAATTGAAGCTGAGGTGAAGCAGCGCCAAAACTTATAATTTACGGTTGAATACTTAAAGTAAAAAGTCAGTAGAATTGAGCTGTCATGTATTGCGTTCTGTGAGGCATTAAATGAATAATTTGGTAAGGTAGTTCCTAATCCGTGGTAAAAGTTGAACGTATTTAGACTATCATTATTTCCTTCATTACATTTGCAAATGAACTTCTACGGCGTGATAACGTGAAGGTACGGAAATCGAAAGTGGTTTACCTAAGCTAAAATCCACCTCACTTTTTTACACCTTACGCACAACCAACTGGTCATGGAGGCGCACACAGTCAGGCAGTTGCGTCTCGTCCAGTGGTAGACGAATGCAGCGAACCAATCCCGGTGTTGCCGTTTATTCCTGCTGTGCGCCGACAGAACGAGCTGAGCTTGGGTCAATCCTGAGACAGGCATAACACCGGCACCAGCTGTCTATCCCACGAGGTTAAGATCACTTTCAGTAGGTCCTACTTTCCTTATTTTTATGTATTTATTCGTTCACTCATTTATTTAGGTATCTACTTAAAAGATAAAAATTGCAGGATATTTAGTGCCTCGGCCTAACACCACGACGTAATTCAAACTCGATATTTTTGACCAATAAAGTGTGATTTGACCTTTCTCTAGACTTCCATTAGGGACAGATTAAATTATTTTTGAGGGCCAAATGATCACTTTAAATGCTTATATTTACCAATGCATCAGCTGAGCCAGGTTTTGTTCAAGTCTTACGCGTGAAATTTAACCCCCTCTTTTTATGCTTATCAGATGATGAAGTGAATTAATTATGATTTTCACCACCAAAAAGGTCAAATAAGCTTACTTGTCTTTGGGGCTTATCTATTAGGTCCATCATAAATGGCATTTAATAAAAACCATGTTCCTGGCAACATTGTCTCTTTCGATTTTAATTACCAAAAGACTCGCGGAAAAAAATACTCCAGTGTGTTGAGTGAATGTGGATAATTATGCCTTTTAGGGAAAGTAGTGACAAAAATTTTAAACTTTTAAGTAAAGATGAAAAAGGAACGATTTATCGTGACAATGTCTTAGTGTCCAATGAAAGCGCAGATTAGTTTCCCTTAATTATTTCAGTAGTTAGAGTCGAAGTCAATAAAAAATGAATTTTGGTAGCTGAGCAACCTTAGGCATTCGGGGTGGTGGCAAATGACCTCTTCCTTAAAAACAGTTCCCCAATAAATGACTCCTAACTTCTTGACAAAACCCGTGAAGCTTCCTCCAGTAATATCTTTTACTTTCCATCATTTTTAAAGGTGAATTTTCACGACAGCGTTCCAATGTGGAAATATTTGCCTAAAAAGAAGTCCTTTTTCAAGAGATGCAAGTCCTCTGCATTTAACCGAAATGAACTAAGAATGCTTTCACTTTATAAACGAATTTTCCAAATCAGAAAGATTAGGACATGAATACCAGAGGAAGAAGAGTGGGAACAGGAAGTGTCTTAGCAGATTTTGATAAAAATCAAATTAAATTACTTATTTTTAAAACTTGGCCCTTAAGTACTATTTAGAAGGTTACTAGAAATTTACTCTTCATTTAGACCCATAAAAGCGCAGTTCAAATTGATATTTATTTGTAAATAAACACCCCGAAAAATGCTCTTTTTGTTTCTAGACTAGGTTACTTGAAAAGCTGCCTACCAACTATTTAAAACAAATCTGGTTTTTAAACGTGGATCTCATCTTTAATTGAGTGATAATTGTGTACCAAAGACCATATTTTTCAGCACTTTATTCATCATGGCATCGCGAAGTGACTTATTCACTTTGCTACATTGCAATTAAAGTGCTTAAAGTAATTTTAGGTATAATGTAAAAATAAATCTTGAATTGGTATAAACGTGACCCTCTAAGTACCTTTAGTAGGTTTCGTATGGCTTCATGTAATTTTGCTTACTACAAATTCGATTACTCGAGAATGAGTATTGCTTCATATCATTTTCGAAAATTCAACGATGCTTATTGTCTATTTTTAATAAGACAGGACACTTGCAGTCGTTGTGAGGATTAAAGAGGACTTTGAAGACCTAATCAAGTTGTATAATGCATTACGATTGACTGACGCATATCTACACTCAGCGGTAAAGGAATGCTTGATACGAGGATCGGGTATTCTTGATTCTTTTTAAGTGAATATGAACGTGACAAACTTGAATATCGCAGAACGACCAGAGGTGCTTTCCGAATGCACACCCATTTCCAGTCTGGTGGAGTTCCATCGGATTTACGGAACCATCCATGTCTACCTAATGCTCTTCTGGTGTCCGCTAGGAGTGCTCTCCAACCTCCTTAACATCGTTGTTCTCAACCAACGACGCATGCGCACCTCCACCAATTTCTTACTCACCTGTCTCGCCATTTCCGACGCCTGTCTCATGTTCCTCTACGTTATTTTTGTCTCCTACTTCGTAATCGGTGGCAGAATGCGCTCTCTACCCTACCCCATGGCGGTGTACCTTCTCGTGCACGTAAATCTCCAAAATATTCTCCACATTTTCTCTTGTGGCATCATCATCACCCTTGCCGTCTTCCGTCTCCTTTACGCTCGTTGCCTTCTTAAGTGTCAGCAGCTCTGTAGCCAACGACGTGCCGAACTCGCTGTTCTCATAGTCCTCTTAACTGCTTGCTTTTTTACCATCCCCTGCATGATCTCGCACCATGTGGAGTCAGCAAATTCCGATCTGGGTCCAGGGGATCTGGAATTGAGCTCAGTGCAGCACATGAACCTCACGCAAATGTATACTGTGAATTACGTAGATAATATGATGCTACGAGTGCTGGTGTACTGGACAACTGCTGTGTTTGTCAAGCTCTTGCCACTGACAAGCATGATTACGCTGTCTTCCCTCCTCGTTGTGAGTATTCACCAGCGAGCGAGAGCACAAAGACGGACGGCTGAGCAGCGGAAGACATCAGGAAAGCTGGGTGGTGGCGAGGATGGAATTGCAGAAGAGACTAGGACATTGGCGAGTGTCAAGTTGGATAATGAGTGGAGCGAGGCAGTGGCGAATCCTCTGGAAAGAGTGATAATGGCGGATAGATTGAGAGAACGATCACATAGTCGCACTACTCACATGCTCCTGGCTATCATGATGATTTATATTGTGACATACCTGCCTCAAGTGAGTTGATCCCGCTCAATACGTACCCATCACATTGCTTATCAAGTTCATAGTATTTCCGGTATTTTAAGTGAATTGAGCCATGACAATTACAGACGGTAAACATACCCGGTTATTCGCTGACGGCAGACGGTTTACCTGCAATGAACTATATACTAACTGTTGAAATGAATGATGCATTGGGAGTGAATTTTCTTTTAAACTTAAAATCATTAGCTGTTGCCATAGTGTGCTGTGGAATAGGCTCAAGGCTAAAGTAGCTACGTGCTTGCATTTTAGTGCTGGCTTACTTAATGCTTTAGGCGTGTGATATTAATAGCGGCCATTTTGTCTGCAGGTGACTGGATATTAATCAAAAATGGTGGTTTATATTTCAGTGTTAGCCGGTGTGAGGATGTCTTATGATTGTAATATGACTTAATCTCATTTAGAAGGCAGACGTTGGATGGGTAGGTAGAACGAATTTGAGATAATTAAGGTTAATTATTATTATCCCCTTTTCAAAAATAGCTCATAATTACCCATTTTAGACCTACAAGTTTATCAAACAACTCAGCTGAATGTTAACAGCACCAGTTCAGAACCTAACTTAGAACAAACTAAACTGTTTATTAAAATTTAGTTATTCAGTGCGAAGGTTCAAGGTTGTGTACTATTTGTCCTTGCTTTTAAAACTTCACGCATTCAATTGCTCATTTTCAGGTGAAATCGCAAAGGCAGACTTTTTCCTAATCGCATTATTTATAAGGAAATCACAGATATTATGAAAATTACCGACTGAAGTAGATCTGGGCACTTACTTGAAACAATTCGGCAATAGGTAATGCGTGGTTGTTGATTCTAGGATTTGTAGTTAAAGGCGTAAATGATGAAGGTCCATTAAAGATTCGTGTTTAAGGCTGGGTACCTTCACCCTCTTAATTGCACACCCCTTGGTCATCGTTAAAATTTGCATCCGGAAATGGCTTTAATACGATTGCATAAAAGTTGATCGAGGAAATACGATTTATATTTTGGTTTATGGGAGCTAAAAACTGTATGAAAGTTGAGTTGCTTTCTGATAAAGGAAATTACGTTCAAAAAAAATACGAGCATCTGCACAATGAGCATGCCATTGACTATTTGGGATGTTTTACTAAAAAAAATCAAGCTTTACAGGGTAATGTCAATGCCTACTTGATAACCCACTTCTTACGCCCACACTTTCCTTGCCTCATTCATTCACCAAAAAACAGGCTGCCCTAAGCAACTCGAGATCTCGCTAGGATGCTCCACTATCTTACGACACTGAAAACATTGACAGCTGTTTTACTGTTTGATTAAGTATTTGTACTAAATCAAGCATTATGCCAAGTGAGAAATGTTTTATTGAGGAGCTTCAGCCTTAAAGACGTTAAATGTTCAGCCATGAAGACCGATTCATTTACTCCGTGAGACGCGTCAGCTGAGCTCACTGACGCAGCCCCCGCGCGACGGCGGTTCTGCCTTTACCATTACGGTTGGATGGTGCCTCCCCTCAAAGTTTATTATGTGGCGAGATTTATTAGCCCATTAATTCCGTGGATCGTAAAAAGAGGTATTAAACTGATCCCTTCTTGAGGACTTCAACAAGCGACAAACTAATAAAACAAATTTTCTTGCTTGCCACTTGCTAAGCACACACTCCGTCGGGCTCCACGAGGAATATTCGACAATCCCGGCCCACTTTGACACGACAAGAGGCTATAGACCGATTAATGTACGTACGCACATGTTTCCTGAAGCATTAAAGGCGGAATATTTCACCGAAGGCAGAAAAATTTTAGGTGTTATATCTAGCCCAATAATAAGGCAGTATGTTATGATGACAAGTAACCAAGCAAGAGATCCAAGTCGTTGGTGCTTTCGCTACCAACGTCGCATATGTGTGACATGTGTGATTTGTCACTCTGTGGTAACTGGACCCACCACATCGCGTCTTAAACACTTCCTGGTCTGGAAACAATCAGTTGTTTAAATTTAAAAAAAAAAATCACGAAGTTGACAAACCATTCATCAGCCCTTACGAGGTTTTGCCGTGCTTTCAAATACATCCCTTAAAAATTTGTCAATTAAGTTATTCCTTAAATAGTCGAAAGCAGTTTGATTTATTATTTTGGAAGCCATTTTGACTCAAATTATTTCCTATCCCAGTCTCTGTAATTTAAAATGCATTCTATGCTAGAAAAGTTGTATTTTCTGGTTTAGTGAATGTGTTTTGATCAATAAATCAACATTCAACGCCAGCTTTGAACCTGCCTCTTTTAAATAAACAAGTAAATTGTGTGGTAATAACTTACACATAAGCTAAATTTATTCTCAAAACTTATTCATGTACTACTTTCTCTCCCTTTTTCTGCATATCTTAGCTATGGTAGTGCAAATTAAAGTTGGTATGGTTTAACTGCAATTTACTGTTAATTTCCCCAGGTTACGTCACTTTATTTAATAAATTATTACCTTAGCAGTTCTCTGCGTGGCGAAGGCGTTGACCCACTGATGCTCTCACAGTTGTTTTATCATGGTACAGGCCGAAAGTTAATTCCATTTTTCAAAATCCTACAAGGTTGATATTTTTCTGCATAAAAAATACCTTCTTTTAGGGCATTACCGCTAACGAAGGCAGAATGGACTTCTGTCGAGCTTGTAGACACACACAACTTCTAGGCATCAACCATTAACATGATTGACCGACTTCTGCCGAAAGTATGTGTCTTACCAGCTAGCTCGATGGTTAGGTGAAGTTTGTTTATAAATGAGCAAAGCGCATACCCTCGAATCACTGCCGAAGGCTTGCCTAATTTGTGGTGGCAGCCCTAATCTCCCACGTACCGACCTGGTGGCTTTCAGAAAGCAGTTTTAGAAGGAGCTAATGCAGGCGAATTTCTCTGAGAGTTGTAGGGTCTTGGCGACTTCACAACCTTAGCATTATTTCCTAACGATTTCATTGTTAATTCCGTTATCGTTTAGAATGCTGCCTTGCACTTGCACCTTCGTGGTTTAAATGCATATGGAGGACCACTTACACCACACCACGATTAAGCAACTATTCAAACACTTATAGGATAAATCCAAAGGAGCATTTCTAAATTAACCATTTGAAGGGATGCGAAATTACCCCACATATTAGCTTATTTACGATGTGGTTTTTTAGCGCTTGACATTCTCCATGACTCTGCGTTTCACTGTCCAATTTCCAACCCACCCCTTACTTAAAGTGGTCGATTGCTCGACGTCCCTTCTTAACTGCGATCCAGTCATTTTCCAGGGTATAAAATTCACTCAAAATATTGCTTTTACACTGGCTAGCAAAAAAATACTACTTCTGGATACAATACACTTGGCGTTGTCAAAGTTATGTCATTTTAGCGTCGATTAGGTTTCGCCGTATTGTCAGAATGCCATTCATCATTATCATAGAACTGTAAACTTAACTTACTAATGAAGTACATTTTCAAATACTTACTGCATAAATTTGACAACGGGACTTGCAAATTCGTGATGCTGCATCAGACTAGAGGCAGCTTTTATGCTCCTTTTGCCGTTTTTGTGTTTTAAAGCCCATAACCTCTCTTTCATGCTTTGCTGTAGTTTGTTGCATTTTCCGCTTCGTCCGTTACCCTAAAAAGTTTCATTGCGATGTGCTATTGGAGAATTGAGGAGAGCTGCTTCAAACAATGAATTGCTCTTAGGCAATAAAAATCGCAATCCTCACTGACAAAAGCAAAAGCTTCACTAAAAGCATAAGTGACAAAAAAGTTGGAGCTTTTTGCTGCAAGTCTCCTTTCTCCACTCCAAAAGCCTGTGTGACCATAAGGCCCTTAATCAAGCTCATCATCTAAGCGTCTGTTCGGTTCAACCATGCTGCTTCCACTCGTTCGTCCTTTTCTTAAGGAGATTACTCATTTGCGAGCCGGAAGCACTCGCCTCATTGTATTCTCCTTTCATACCAGAACTTCTTACTAATTGATCGTTATTGTTGCATTCACTCAAAGAAGAGTGGATGGGTCGCGCTAGCTTGGCTGATGGCGATCACGTCCATTCAATACTTATTCCCCACCCGTTGGCTGTATTCTTTTTTTCCTCTTGTTATACAAGCACTGTTTGGTGTCAAAATTCGAACTTGATGAAAAGTGACTAATTCCTTGGTTTTCAATACAAAAGTAAAAAACTGCGGCACGAATTTGGCTTTTCCCAAAAGCGCAGATTGCACGACCAATGTTACGACTTATTTTGAGATGTTCTCAAATGTCACTTTTTGCCTCAAGGCAGCACAATCTCTGTGCCCAAAGTTACGGGGCCTTGACAGAAGCGCATTTGCATGTCAAACATATTTAGGTCAACTTTGAAAGACATATATCGAGTTTAAAAATGAAGAAATACAAACTTCGTTAACTTTTAGTCTATTTAAAATAAAAAGTACTTTAGTGTATCCAAAGCCAGCTCAATTTGTATGGTGCAAGGTTAATTTGAGCAACGTCTAATCTACTGTCTTGCGTTCCGCAGGCGATTCTACTGTTAGTAAGTGGATTAAGCGGCTACTGCTTTTCGGAGACGGTGTACGATCCATTGGGAGATTTTATGGATCTTCTGACTCTTCTCAGTTGTGGCATCAACTTTGCGCTTTACTGTCTCATGTCGCAGCAGTTTCGCACAACCTTCCTCCAGCTTTTCTGCCCAGCTAAATTTCGCCGTAAAAATACGCCTTCAGGACCAATCTCCGGATAGGCCCTCTTCCATCTGCTCTTCGATATTTCTGCCCTCTTCTCACTACAGCCTTCTCACTGTACAGATCTGTGCTGATATTTTTTGCGAATCTCACACCTTCCTTTGTGGTCTTTATGATTTTGTTACCACGTATTGGAGTTAATAACATTTATATCCAGTCCAACTTGTTTTCTGTTTAAGAGGGTTGGGGCGTTTTTATGCTGCCACATCCATGGTTTAGATGCCTGCATGGAAATCGACCCTTTGCGCAGACGGAAAAACGCGACCACATATTCGGTTTGGTCGTGCCATCAACCCTGGCAGTCACTCCGAGACGCTCGAGGCTACGGAGGACTCACGCACGGTTAGATGACTAAGGTACAACCATAAATTATCTACTATCTTGCTGAAAACTATTTACTAAGTACGCAAGAACCGCACGACCCACAGATCACACTCTTCTAGTAGACCGCCGCTCTCAAAGGGTTGCTTTCTGTCTCATTCGATTTGCGGGGATAACACACTCCTCTACCATGTACTGCAAAATTAAGCGTATCAAAACCGGGGGTTGTTATACATATTTCAACCTTATAGAATTTTAAAATTCTCAAGCGGATGCCGGAAGTAATTTTAATGATATATTAACAAGAACTCGAGAATGTTTCTCGAGAGTAGTTTATGTTAATCCAAGTGAAACAGTCTAGTGAATTATTTGGAGCTATATCTACCTTGATTTTTTACGTGAGGTTTTATAAAAATTGTCGCCTTAACGTGTTAAAACTGCTTGGAATGGCTTTGGACGTAATGTTATAAAAGTGGCAAATTTCCTACCTCTAATGGGCAAATTCTAGACATTGATAGACTTTTATTTATTTATTACTTAAATGCTAATTCCTTACTAAATACTTGAGCAGCTAAACATGGGGGTTATTTTACGAATTTTATTGTCCGTTGAGCGGAAAAGTTATTTTTTGGAAAAGAGGACCATTTTCCTCTTCTGCAACAAAATTGTAGGCATCTCTAACAACCGAATTATGTAGTTTTGAGGTCTTAAAATGTCGGCTAAGGGTTTATTTACGGTTAGGATTTTATGCAGTTCAATGTTTTTTTGCGAGGTTTGTAAAGCAAGAAACACTTCACCTAATTTAATGACCATATAGTAGCGAAGGCGCTGAACTCCCGGCCAAGGGCGGCCTATTATGTCGAGATCTTGTTTCGTGTTGCGATACCTTTGCGGAACGAATAAATGCCAAACTTAGACATAAAACTGTCTTGCCTCTTAAAATAGCATGAATTAATTCTCATCTAGGGTATAGCTGTCACGCACTGCAGACTGAAACAAGTGCTGCGATTTAGCCAGAGAGCATTTGCCTGCTTGAAATAAAAACTCCATATATTTCACTGAAACAGCACCAATAATGTGTCTTCCAACACGTGCTGCTGGCTAGGATAAGAATTTTTCACTGCACTCCTTTGCAAATGTCTAGACCTACTTTGGTGTGCATGCCTATCTGGTTGGCGCCTAAAACCCGGAAATACCATTTCACTGCGTCTTGTGCATTTCGGCAGATAAACGCTATTGTTAACTTCCTCTCGGAAGGAAAATTTTTTAAGTAGAATTTATTCGCTGCGACTGGGCCAATCTTAACAAAGGAATCGCACAGATTCTCAAACCTCCTAACCGGCGTGATAAAAAGCCCCCTTAAACGCTAGTGTCTGTCACAAAGTCTGCCAAGCTGTCCCATTATTTAATTAAAAGTTAATGGGTCCCGTGATTGACAGCACTTAATTCTGAAAAATTTGAATAAAAGTAGTGCTAAGGGAGTTTGGATTTCCTTTGTTGGAAGTTGATTGACCTCATTCATCTCTCAGCCAAGATATCAGGTCTGCAAACGACCCACATAGGGTATAACTAGGAACGGCTATATCCGCTTCACTACTTGTATTCCTCTGGGAATCTAGACCTGATTCACTGACACTTGTAAGCTTTCCCTTCTGTTTGCACTTGATATAAAATATGCATTTTTTATATGGGAAAAGGATAGGACAGAAAAATAGTCCCTACATATCCCCTTACGAGTAAGCAGAAAAGAATACTGCTAAGCCGATTATTTATTGTAGACGATAGGTTTTATTCGCCTTCGTATTCATTATTTTTGATGAGATCATTCAGTTTTGTATTTAGCTATCAGCCTTGCCCGATTGATTTTGCCACCTTACAAAACTGCATCGTGGAGGTCGATTTTACTCTAAGGTCACAGAAGCAAATGTATGAATTGCTGCTATTAAAAACAAAAATTATCGCATTCACCGGTAGTTCAAAATAAAGTTTGTCAAGTTTCTAAATATTTAATCCTGTAAATTATACTCATCCGCCATGAAGTGCTGATGAAGAATGCCTATTAATGGACTATTTTGAAAGCCCCTTAAGCCCTTACTGTGACGGTACTATCCGCATCAAGGATTCACTTAAATCATTTGGGGGGGGGGGAAGGGTAGGGTGGAATGACCCTTACCATCTACCTTGCGAGAAACTCACTCTTTGTTCCTCCTTTTAAATCACTTTGCAAATATTCATAGCGGTGAAAATTTGCATCGCCCTTGAGGTGTACATACTTGCGAATGCGCTAAGCAGCTAGCACTTTGGCATGCATACTCGACCGTAACGGAGGAAGTAAGAAGAATAATGGAGCTTACACTCACCATTTTACATACTACCGCGAATGAAGTAGTTTGCCTACTTGTGGCAATGTATTGCCACTTGTACTAATTGCCTCGAGGAGAAAGCTTTTGCTAAATTATGCATTTTAAATTCTGATGGGTTCTCTACTAATTGCGGATGACAAAGTTTATGGTAATAAATCAGAATTTTGCTCTAGCTTGTGAACTACTTAACAAGTAGCATTATGTTAGCAAATCGAGTGCTTCTGAGTAAAACTTGTAGAGAATATCTTGTATTTCAACCGACTATGTAAATAGAGGCAAACGCATTGTTTAGCCCAAGAATTTTCCTTTTTAGAGACCATTCAGTAAATAAATGGGAATATTTTTCAAATTTAGAAACAACCATAAATAAAGTTTCCTCTCCTTAATTAGAGTTAAGCGGTCAATTAAAAGTGAGGAGGTCTACCCTCTACAGAAGGAGGCGGAGGGAATAAACATGTCACTTATCATATAAATGAAAGCTGCGCAAACCCCATCATAGATCATCCACCTTACCCTTCTACGCAGTGGAAGAATCGCCCCTAAGCGACTTCGGAGTACCATGATAAAGCAAGTGCGGCGCTTTATCTTCTCACGATGAGTTTAAGAAATTAATCGGATGATAAGATGGCACAGTTTAGAGTGTACCTCATTAAGCTCTATTAAGGACTGATAACTACGTGTGTTTTTTCGGGTAAAATTAACCCAAATTTTCCTAACTATTCAATGTTATCTGCTCCTCAAAAAATGGTTGTTACAAAACTACTCTTTGATATATTGATACGAATTGGCATTAAATTAATACTTTCTTGTTAATGGTGGACAAAAAATTTCAATTTAAACCTGCATTGGCTCTGACGGGATCATATAAGAAAGGCTTACTTAAGGTTTGAAAATGACGGTCGCGCAATTAGACCATTAAGAATTTCCAATTCGACTTGAGCAAATGGCTGTTAAAGCTTAAATACTATGATTTCATAGTTGATCTCCTTGGTCGACAACATCAAAAGGATACTAGGGCTTACAAATGTGTTAAAGCTGCGCAGACTCCACCGACTAGTCATTCATTATGGAGCATTCATACCGGAATTTCATCGTTTTCGAGGTACGTTAAAATGGCTTCGGACTATAGATCCCAGTTATCAGTAGGTGTTCAAAAATTGAAAGATTAAATATTGACGGATTGGGATCCAAACCTACGGTATTGGTCTTATATTTTATCAGATGGATCAAAAGAGATTATTGTGAATGAGGTTAGGGTTTAGTGTCCTGTAGAATGAAACTGCAGTAGCTATCAACTTCGAAGCAGATATTAAGCGAATCATGACTGACGTTGCTCACAAAGTACCGTAACCTAGAGATGGCTGGAACGACTGTCAACCATAAGCTCATCCTTAAAAAGGCATCGGCTCTTCCGAGTCAAGTTAGCCCAAGAATCCGTAGCTGCGTGTGTGTCTTGTAAAGGCAGAATCTTGCACCACATTCGTAAACGGATTGGTGAATCTAAGAGCTCTTCGAGAACTAGTTATCAGGTAATTTCATGACGATCACTCAGGTATTGCCCAAATGCAGTCACGAATGCGCAGTTACTTGCACTGGCTTGGGATGAACGCTGAACTGAAAGGCTTCTGTCGTAGCTGCTCAATGAGCACTTTGGTTGCAAATAACTCTACCAAATGTTCATTGCAAGACTGGCCTCCTCCAGAGGGCTTTCCACTGCGTCTATGCCTCGATTTTACTAGCTTATTTCAAAGACAAAGCCTCCTGGTAATCGTAGGACTAACCGCCTAATGGCTAAACGTGGTCCAATCAGGGAATGAAACCCTAGAGCTTACAGTTTTTAAATTGCAACGTCTGATTAATTAATTTAGGATACCTTAAAAGATAGCCACAAAAACTGCATAAGAATTATTTCTGCCCAATTTGAAGTTTTTTGCCAACACAATGAATGTTGAGCATCTTTAATTACCTGCGCACTATCGACGGCCAAAAAGGCCCACTTTCAGTCAAGCTCTTTTAAAGGCATAGAGAGAAAAGATGTAGACCCAAGAGATCATTTATATGGTCTTGACAAATTACTGGACGACATCAAACTGGAATGCCTTGTTTGACAACTCCCCTGCCGGATTAGCACGCAGACGGTTAGATATGGACCTTAAATTCTGGGAAGGCAGTGTCGTTCAGAGGGTGCGCGTTGGAACCCTGGAAAGGTGCGTTTGCGTGTCACCATTACTATACACAGCTGTAAATGTAATTTTAATAGATACATTAATTAGTTTATCCAAATCATGGAGCCATTAAGGGAAAGTTCGAATGCTTCCCTCAGATTAACTATTTGAGACTTTTAAGTAATCGTAAAAAGGTGCAATGCCTCACAAAAAAAGGTCGCATCATTGAGGAAACGAGCTTCCACGTGTCAGCTTAAAGTCCATCCGAGGCTCCGATCCTTCGGGAGAACATTTTAAAAGGATAAAAGTTGAGACGCATTCACATGAGGCTATATGCGGATTAGACATGGCCTCACCCGAAGAAATCAGTGTGTAATCGGAATAAATGGATTTCTATTTGTTTGTTTGACCATCCATATCAATATGCAAACTAGTGCTTTATGAAAAAAGCGGGTCGGAGAGGTGAATGGTGATGGACTGACAGGTTGATAGATGGAAGGAA